TTTTTGAAAGAAAGGAACAGAAAATATACACAAGTACACTTGCAGAATGTTAAATGAGAGCTGCTATTCTCTGTGGGGAAATGTATGTTTATTTGTGCTATGATTTTGGGATGGATATCTGTGGCATTCATGTTAAAGATGAGAGAAGAGATGAACGAGACTGGTCTTGTGACTCAAATGACACTGACCTGCAATCCTTAACCTTTCTTTTTATTTATGTCCTGCCATCCAAAATCTTTCCTCTGACCTAGATTCTGTATGACCCAAAGGTTCCAACAGGTTTTTCAAACTCTATTTCTGTTAACCAACCCTGTTGACCTCTCTCCCTGCAGTCAGTCAGCCTGACCATTCTCAAAGGATAAGTGTGTGAACCCTAGGACCTGTACTTTGGAAAGGTTATTAATCCCTGACATAAAGCTCTTAAGCATGTGGAAAGAGAACTGCTCTAGAATTAGAAAACTCAACATTTTACCAGCTGTATCTTTTGCCAAGTCTCTTCACCTCTTTGAAAAGCAGTTTTCCTTATGAAATGGAGATCTCTCAGGCACATCGATCCCACTTTGCCTGGAAGATCAAGTGCACAGTCAGAGCTGAGATATGACAAACAGGCCAAAGCCTAAGGTCATGTGACCTGGTTACAGGAATAAGAGACCAATCAAGCCATCAGTCAACTAATCAAGTAGGTTCCCTCTGTGACCTTTCTCTATGTGTGATCTGGAGAAGTTCTCAGGAGGTGCGTTTATTAATCTCCATGTAGTGTCTTGAAGGTAGAGTCTATGTCATGTTCATGAGTCCTCAGTGACTAGCACGGTTCCTGGCACAGTGTCATTCAGTAAACACTGGGTGGATAATGAGTGAGATGTCCTTTCTAAGTTCCATTAGTAAAACAGCAGCTGATTGAGCACCATTTTGCAGTGTCAGAATACTCAGAGACCACCTGAAGTGATCAGTGGTTTCCAGTCTGAGTAATAATTTCTCATTGAAGAGGTGAAGATGATGACATATACCTCACAGTTTTTGTGAGGATTAAATGAGAAATGCATTCCAAAGCAGATTAGGTTCGCAGTGAATGGTAATGGAATGAGTTGAATTGAAAGCAGCTTTTTGAGAGCAAAGATGGCACTTCTGATGTCTGTCTGTCAGCCTTTCAGGAAGGAACAGGCGTATGGGGAGTCAGATGTGGGGTTATTTCCATTCCACCACCTGCATGTAGTGGAAGCTTGAACAAGCCATGAAACTTTTCTGAGCCTCTTTCTTGTCTGTAAAATGAGGCCAACAGTACCTGCACTGCCCGTCTCACAGTGTCGTTTGTAGTTATAAAGGGAGATGCCAAAAAAGATGAATGGTTCTACAAATGTAGAAATTTAGTATTGGTGGAAAGAACCACGGACTGAGATTTATAAAACCTGGCTCTGTGGATTAGGCCTATTGAGCCATAGTTGGTTCCTATATAAAATAAAAGGGTTTAATTGTTGATTTTTGCTGCTTTTCCTGTGAATAGTGATGGATGTATAGAAATTTTCTTCATGTGCAAGCAGGGTAAAAATTGTCGTATATCTGTAATTTTAGAATTCATGAGTACTAAGAAAACTTTGCACTAAAACTTTTGCCCATCTTCTTAATAATGCCTGGATTTTCACTATCCTTCTCTCCTGTAGCAGGGGTAACACTCTAAGCTTATATCTGCCATCCTCACACCATTGCTAATGACTTCACTTCCTTTCTTTTATCCATTTTGGGTGAGATGGGAGAGCTGGAATAACTGGAGATCAACTTGGGCTGTTTTGCAGTTTTACCTAGGATTGGTCCCATATATTGGTAGATTAGTTTATGCAATCATACAAGTGAAAATGGGATGAGAATTTCTAGACTCTGCAACCATGACAACAACCTCCAAGCTCTTCATTTCATAAATGCCAAAAAAAAAAAAAAAAACCCAAAACACCAAACCTGTTACCGTCAAGTTGATTCTGTCTCATAGCAACCCTATAGGACAGAGTAGAACTGCCCCATGGGGTTTCCAAGGAGTGGCTAGTGGATTCGAACATTCAACCTTTAGGTTAGCAGCCCAGCTCCTAAGCACTGTGCCATGAGGGCTCCTCATAACTGCAACACCTGTAGTATTTAAAAGGGCCTTGGAGTTGTTCCTGTTCAGCCCACTCAGTTTTCATGTGGGAAATGAAGGTACAGAGAAACAACTTGCTAGAGGGCACAGTGATCTGAGCAAAGAAAGTTCAGAGTTCCCATAAATTGCATGCCATATTCTTGGTTATTTTGCAAGGAGTTAATCACTGAGAAAATAAAATCTGGCATTTCCCCCAAAGAGCAGTGTTCAATGTGATATCTCCCCTTTTGATTTCTTACTACTCTTCAAACAGAACTAGAGGTGGTTTTGTTTATTTCAGGTGTGACATCATACGCTTTTAGTATTTTTAACTGAGAAATAGAGTTGGGATAATCATATTTGAGTTCAGATCATTCCTTACTTTTGGCTGACTTTATTGAGGGCTTATTCTATGCTTTTCTAAGGATAAAAATTACTGGATTAGAAACAAAAAGATCCAAGTTCCAGTCATAGTTTTAACTGTGATTCACTATTATTGTCATGATTTCGGAGCAGTACTGCTATGTCTCGTAGCCTTTTCCAGTCAAGTCACTGAGAAAGTTTGTGACACACTCTTTGCCAGGTACACTAGTGCTCTGAACCTCTGTTAAATGACAGTAAATTAGAATTATATCACTAGGTAAGGAGTCCTGGTGGCACAGTGGTTGGCATTTCGAATCTAGTAGCCACTCTGTGGGAAAAAGACTTGGCAATCTTCTCCTATAAAGATTTCACCCTGGGAAACCCTATGAGCATTTGTACTGTATCATGTAGGGTCGCTATAGCGAGTTGCTGTGACGAATGTTGGAATCACCACCAGCACTAGGGGTATGGTGAAGAACTGAGAGAGCCAGATCTAGCTGTCCGGGCCTCATAAAAGAGTTATAACTTTGCAAGGACCCTTACTCTCCAGACTGTGCAGATGCTCCTAGGAACCAGTGACGTGCAATAACTACATCAGCAAGACTGCAGGAGTCACCAGGTTAGAAATAGTGAAGGTAAGATAAGTGATGTGAGTGGGACAGTCGAATTTACCACAATTTCAAGATCACTTCTATGAACCAATAGCTGTGGCAGAGCTGCAGGAGTGCAGATCATGCTTCCGTGAGCATGACAGGGTTGAAAGCACGAAGTGGGGACTTCAGGGACTGGACTGTTTGCTTGTGGCATCTAAGGCTGTTGAATCAGCCTTCCCTTGATTGTTCTTTCCATCTTCACACTTCCGATATGCCTCCACCAGCTGAGTAAATACCAAGGAAATGCAGATTACAAAACAGAAAGAGCTGAGGCTTGTAGAGGTTTTGTGGTCTCCAGAGCTCACATTGCTGGTCCAAGAACTTCACATTTCTGTCCTGGCAGTGGAGTCACCTGTACAATTTTTTTTTTTTTGGTAAGAAAACCTTTTAGACTTATTTACCCATTGCTGTTGAGTCGCTTCCAACTCATAATGACCCTATAGGACAGAGTAGAACTGCCCCATAGGGTTTCCAAGGAGCAGCTGGTGGATTTGAACTACCGACCTTTTGGTTAGCAGCTTGAGCTCTTAACCGCCATGCCCTTAGACGTATTTAGTTACAGTCATATTAGAAGTCTGTGGTCTCTTGTGTACAATCCTAAATCCTAAACCTAAATTTCTGAAAACAGTCTTTTTTGTAAGTTTGTGGCAAACTCATTTGGTGGTAAAACCTGACCTAAACTGACAGGACGCTTTTTGTAGTCTTTATGTACCTCACTTAGCTGGAATATTTATATGTTTGCTGACAAAAATATTAATGAGTTTGATGGCAGGATGCCTCCATAGACCCTGCTGTGGATGCATAACTCACGATTTCTAGAAGATGCATCTTCTTAACCGTTCTGAAACTAGAATAATTCTGAATTCCAAGAACATCTGGTCCCAAGGGTTTTAGATAAGAGATTGTGAATCCATAAATTGTTTCCCTTAGGAGTCCCTGGGTGGCACAAATGGTTAAGCGCTGACTGCTACTAGCAGAATGGTTATCGGGTTGAACCCACCCAGGCACCTGGGAAGACAGGCCTGGAGATCTGCTTCCGAAAGACCACACAGCCTTGAAAACCCTATGGAGCAGTACTGCTCTGCACACATGGGTTCGCCATGAGTCAGAACCAACTCGAGGGCAACTAAAAACAACAACAAACAACATCAGTCCCTTAAGGAAATTGTCTCTTCTTCCCTTACAGAGAAAACAAAGTGTGGGGAGGGGAGAAGCAAAACAAACATATGTAAATGGTAGCTATCCTGCAAATTAGCTGTGGCTGAAGATTTCAGGTCTGGGTCTTCAGGAGAATAGATGTTTTGAAGGGCAAAAAATCTATATCTGTACCTTTCCTCCAATTAAGATGTAAAAATCACAAATTTTACTGTGGAAACTGCATCGTCTTCGCCCTCTCCGTGTGGCAGTCTCAGCTGTGAAGAGCTGCTCATCAGAATGTGCGTGTAACTCATGGAACCAGAGCGCCACCTTTCTTCCAGATTTAGAATTGAATCTTCACACCGCCACTGGCTGTTTTGCCTGGTTAAGCAGTTCAATTGGCCAGACTGCAAGAAAACAATCCCTTGTGGGATGTCTTGACACTCAAATCATAAAGGAAAAGCTGCAAAGAGGGCAAGAAAATATGTTTTCTTCTCTTTGGTCCCTGAGCGATTAAATTGGTAACCTAATGTGGTGTTAGGGAGTGTGGGCCATAAACCCTCTGTTTAATTAGTTTGTACCCAGCACGTCGTTGTACACACTAGACGTTTTAATTTATAACCTGCTGCATTGCAGCGCTCTTCTAGGTCTTCTGCTGTGTGATAAGTTATGCTTCTAGCTGCTCAGGCTTTAAAAATATAGACACATTTTCTTAGTTCAGATTGTTTTTGTCTTTTTTTCAGTTGCAAATCAAACATGCAGTTACAGAAGCTGAGATTCAAAAGTTGAAGACAAAGGTAAGAACCACTATATGGTGCCTGAATTGTACTTTTTAAACTCTAGATACCATGAATAAATTCAGCCCTAGAACTAAAGGATTTGTTCCTGTGCATTTAAAAGAATACAAATGCTAGAGATTCAATTCCAGTGGTAGACGCGGAGGAAACCTCCCAGTGAGAGCAAGAACCCGCCCCCCGCCCGCCCCGCTCCCACCTTCACTACAAATAACATAGTATTTTAAGACATAGATATTTACATAATTGCACATGTCTGTCCAGTTACATCTGAACTTTAATCAAAAAGTGATATTTTAATGGTTCTAGCGTCTTGAATACATTTTGATCACTAATACCATAAGCACAAGCTATTATACCATATCTACTCTTTGTTTATTTTAAATAGATTTAATCATTTATTTATTTTTAACTTATTTGTCAAAAACAATATATAGTTTTAACATAGCACATACACTGTTTTTGATAGGAAAATGTCAAATTTCTAGTAATTAAATGTTACGGATTTAATATAATACTCATACACGTTGCTGTCGAGTTGATTCCAACTCATAGCGACTGCATACTATGCATTATTGATTTTAGGTGCCAGGTGCTACTGGAAACTTTTAGACAGGTTTAGTTCACATTATTTAAATTTGTGGGAAAAAAAAGATCTTGAAAAAAAGGAAGTATGTATTTTTGGTCTGTATATGGAATAATAGAAGAGTCAAAAGGGTATTTTTAATTGGTAAGTTATAAGGTGCTTGTGTGAGACACAGTTCTAAGAATCGTGTCTAGTTTTATCAAGTAAGTAATTTCAAAGGTTTAAAAATATCTTCTGAATTGCTTTTAAAGCAATATTCTTTATTGTTTTTATGATCTTTTAAAAATTAAGACTTAATTCTTGCCCCACCACTAATGATCTATTTTCCTGTTCACACTGAACACTGTTTTGTTTTTCTGTGTGTTTTAAATGAAGATAAATTAGCAAGGCTATTTAGGTTAAATGGAATTCTCAGCTAATACACACTGTAGCTCTTTAGTCAAAACATGTCTGTATATCATTCATAATGTCAGCCCAGCTCTGTGAATAATAATTTTTAAATTAGTAATGGTTGATAACTAAACAGCTTGAACACACGAAACATTGCTTATTAAAAGATGCATTTAAAAGCCTAGTCCTGTTGAAGTTGTTATTATTTCTTGGCATAGAAAGAGAATAGAAGTTTTGTTTTGTTTTTTAAATTGTTGGTTGGAAGCAGGAAAAAAAGATTCCCCTATGATTGTGAGTGCTTTAACTGAACTTACGTTGTAAACATTTAATATAGAAAAGTTTATATATTAGTATTTTATATTTTTCTTATTATATTAACATATAATACCCATAGATTTAGCTTACTTTACAGACTCTTTATTTCCCTTGTTGGTAATAAAATTCCCAGTTTTCAAATGTTGTTACTTTTTTACTCTGTTACCTATTTTGCCAATGTATTTAGTTAAAAATATACATACAAACATGTATTTCCATTTGCTGAATGCTGTATGGTTTTAGAATGTCTTGGATTTTGAACACTGATAGTTTATAATGACTCTGCATCCTTTTGAACTTTAAAGGAGGCATATGAAGTAGGTGAAGCACTAGTTTGAGGGTCAGACAGTTGTTGTGATTAAATGACTTTTGACCCTTCACCTAATGGCTCAGCCTTGAATTTCTATAGAAATGAAGGGATTAAAGTAATATACTATCTACTCCTAAGAGTCCCTGAAAGTGGAAACTAGAAGAAGCTGCTTTTTAATTGCATTGGATGTGTTTAAATTAATCCAGCAATGATTTATATTTTTACTTATATTATCTTTTATACTTTTATGCAAATATGGGATTTATAAGGCTCTAGAAATTCATAATACTGCTTGCAAAATAATGAACTGCAGACTATATTCAAGCCAGTTGAAATGAAGGATATAATAATATCATCAAAAGGGTTAAAAGCAAAGTAAAAATAACTAACATTTACCAGATGATTACTGTGTCCAAGGTGCTGTTCCAAGCACGCTGGTGTGTTATATCACAACTCTGTTTTATACATGATATAATTGAGTCTTAGAGAACTTCAGTTACTTATCCAATATTAAACAGCCAGTAATGGCTGAGCTGGGATTCAAATTTCAAGCTGAATAACTTCAGAGTTCCCCTCTTAGCGATTAGGCCATACTGCACTTCCATTCTTCCCTCCCTGCCTCTTCTACTCCTTTGTTAGTTAATTTTTACTTTACTTATATATTTAAAAAAAAAAAAAGAAGCTCAAAGAAAATGTGTTGAAGTCCATTGGATAAAATCAATCAAACTCTAAAATGTCTTTTACTGCTCACAGAACTTCAGACCACATGGTGTGATGGAAAGATCACGAGATTTGGAATTAAGTCTGTGTTTTATCACTTATCAGATGTGTGACCTTGGACAAGTCATTTTACTTTTCATGGTTTCCATTTCATCATCTGTGAGATGATGAAAATAATACTTGTTCTTCTTATATCAAAGTGATTTGATGATCCAGTGTATGTAATAATGGAATTTAATCTTGATACATGCTATAAAAACATGAGGGATTTTTGCTATACTAGTACCTGATTATCCTTGCCTTGACATTTGCTTTCTTCAGCTTCAAGCAGCAGAAAATGAGAAAGTACAATGGGAACTAGAAAAAAACCAACTCCAGCAGAACATAGAAGAGAATAAAGAAAGAATGTTGAAGTTGGAGAGCTACTGGATCGAGGCTCAAACGTTATGCCACACAGTAAACGAACACCTCAAAGAGACCCAAAGCCAGTATCAGGCGTTAGAAAAGAAATACAACAAGGCAAAGAAATTGATCAAGGATTTTCAACAAAAGTAAGCAGCTTCTAATGACTGAAGAATAGTTGTATTAAGTCCAAAGAAGGTTTACATCCAGTAATTGTGTAGTATCTATTGTAATAGAAAAGATGACCTCAGAGTTATCCTTCTCAGAAGTATAGTTATAGCATAAATAGACATTAGGTTTTAGAAACCACTTCTATCATGTTTTCGTATGAGATTATGTTTTGTATATTTTACAATTTTTGGCAGCTAGTTGCTGCCTGACTTTTTTTTTGGATAGTCAGTGATTGATAGTAACATTTGAATCCCTTTATCCTTTTTTGAAACAGCTCTGTGATTTAGAAGCAAGAAGCCTAGCTGAAGTAATGCAGAATGACTTTTGGGTGTGGTACATGCAAAGTGTCGACTGGGGCCTTGATCAAGCTGCTTCTATCTCTGTTCTTAGAATCAATAACTACAGAATTTTCCCAGTACTGATAGTGTTACTGTTGACTGGCAAGACTCCCTGCCCTGCCACTCTGCTCAGCTTCTGTTGAGAGAACTGCAAGGGCCTCAGTTCACTGCAGCGAAAGGGACTATCACCTCTCTCTGCTTTTGAATTTCAGCAGTCCTTTCTGAGCTACTGCTGCGTCACTTCTGTCTGTTGGATCTTGGTGTAGTTTGGGGAGACTGACCAGGGAGATTTTTACGGGATATTTTCATCAGTTACTTCTGACTAGCTAGGATAATGAAAATTAATGCCAGTACTTTTTATGGTCTTCCATGCCAAGCCTTAGAAACTAAGCATGTATGCAAGAGTCACCATATCTCTATCATGGAAATAATATTTTCAATATTTAAAAGATATTGCTATAAAAATTTACTGTGAAAACCAGGAAAGGGAATTACTCTTTGCAACCATAAATTTAATACATCACTATTTTAACCCTTCTTGCCAAAAATATCAGACCTAACTCTGTTTCATCTACTAACTTTGTAATGGGTTTTGCTAAATTTGCATATTCTATTCCAGGCTCTCAAAATGGAGATATTTCTCCTCCCCATATTATCCTTAGGTGTGTAAGTGCTCTACTTAAGTGTTTCTAACATACCCAGCCCCCTTTCCATTGTCTTTCATAGAAAGCAGTCTTATTATGATTATCTTTTTGAAATCCCACCATCCAGTTCCATCAGTTTATTGTGTATATGACTTTGCAAATGTGGAATTACTTCTATCTGACATGCTTTTATTGCCACAAAATTACCCAGAGTGGGTCATTAGTGCAATAGCTCCTGTCTATGTAGAGGTACTCTAGAATCAGGAGCTACAAATGAAAATCATAATAGGCAGAATTAAAGCATTTTTCTTTACGTTGTGACCCATTAAAGATGCTTTTATTTTGTTTCATGACCATATACCTTTTCCCTAACATTTCAGAAGACTTGACTGCCTACTTCTAACTATGACTGAGTTTTGTTTACTTAAGTAGCTGTCCAGTTACTTATCTCACAGCACAGTTTATTGCTTCAGATAAGAACTTTTCACATTTCCTTATTTATTGAGTGTTTCATGCAGTCACATCTATTATTTTCTTTTTAAGAGAACTTGATTTCATCAAAAGACAGGAAGCTGAAAGAAAGAAAATAGAAGATTTAGAGAAAGCTCATCTCGTGGAAGTTCAAGGCCTACAAGTGCGGGTGAGATGTGTTTTCAAAGCCACTAAATAATGAGATGATCTTGCCTGGTACTTGGAGAGGTGTGCTAGTTTAGAGTTTTATGAGTGAATTTGTTTTTCCCAGATTAGAGATTTGGAAGCTGAGGTGTTCAGGCTACTGAAGCAAAATGGGACTCAAGTTAACAATAACAACAACATCTTTGAGAGAAGGACATCTCTTGGTGACGTGTCTAAGGGAGATACCATGGAGAACTTGGATGTCAAACAAACATCTTATCAAGATGGCTTAAGTCAAGGTTTGTTTAACTTCACAACAAAAATCGTTTTTAATGACTGAATGATTTGTCCTTACATTCTTCTTTTTCTTACCTAGGGATTTAAAAGTTGAGAAGGCCTTCATAGTATGGGAAAATGGAAAAGGTTGATCAAAATAAGAACCTATAATTTTAGCCCTTGTCTTATAAAAAATAAGTAATTTAATGTAAAGAATTAATAAAATTCCAACTAATATCAAGCCAAAGATTATTATTTTCAAACCATCATAAAAGTGATAGACTTGATTAACTGCCTTAAAAATAACAGTCCATCCCATGTAGGGTGATCTGCACTATACCCAAAATCAAACCCATCGTCGTTGTGCCAATTCCAACTCACAGCAACCCTATAGGACAGAGCAGAACTGCCCCACAGGGTTTTCAAGGCCGTTAGCTGTGCGGAAGCAGACTGCCACATCTTTCTTCCATGGAGCAGCTGGTGGGTTTGAACTGCTGATCTTTTGGTTAGCAGCTGAGCACTTAACCATTGTGCCACATCGAGGCTCCATTAGGTATTAATGTTGAGGAAGGCTTAAATTTCTAAATCACTAGAATAAAGATCTTTTTTGTAACATTTCAGAAGGCTTGACTGCCTGCTTCTAGCACTTACAATCCATTTAGTTAAGAAGCTATATACAGTTTTGTGCTTTTTCCTTGGTGTCCTATGTGTACTTCTCACTTCCTTCCTGTCAGAGACCAAATGTTGTTGTGTGCTATCCAGTTGATTCTGACTCATAGCAACCCTATAAGACAGAGTAGAGCTGCCCCATAATGTTTGCTAGGCTGAAATCTTTATTGGAGCACATCACCAGGTCTTTTCTCCTGCAGAGCCGCTGATGGGTTCAAACCACCAGGCTTTCAGTTAGCAGCCAAGTGCTTAACCACTGTCCAACCAGGGCGTTTTCAGAGACCAAATAAGAAGACTAGAACACTGGAAACATTTTTTGTCATAAATGATTGTCTTCTCTCATACATCAACGACAAATAAGTCACTTGTTTTCTTTCTCACACGCTCTATAAATAGATTGGGGGCATACGCATATGAATGAATTTTTTTTATTTCTGTATTATTTTTATAAATTAGAAAATTGTATACGAATTTGTAAAGAAAAATACCCAGAAGAACGTAAACCTTTTAGTTTCATTTTTTTAGATATATACATGGAAGTCCTTGCAAAAAGTGAAATTAAAAGAATGTTGAGCAGCAGGCTTGCCATGGTAACTCTGACAACTCATAGACAGCAATACCCTGTTCATTAATGAGCTGTTTAAATTTTTGATGAATTTTCTCACATATTAACATTCCTCTAATGAGATTTTCCTGATAAACAAGTGTTTATATCATATTGCTAATTTTAAGAACTAAACTCTTAGCCATTAAAAATGAAAAAATATTGGAAATTTTCATTTAAAATTAAAGCTATAGAGAGAGATTTGAAACCTTGCACTGGGCTTATGTCCTTTTGATGGGTTTTCCCATAACAGGATAGAATTTATAAATAATGCCTCCCTGGCTGCTGAAAGAGGAGGATTTAGCTCCAGCATTACCATGGACTGAGGAGCTGTGTGACTTCAGGAAGATCATTCAGATTCTCTGGGTTGCTTCTACTATGTTTAATATAAAAATAGTAATGCTTCTTCCTTCCCCACCTAATGGGGTATTTTGAGGATATATAACTTATTCTACAAGAGAGAAAAAAGCAATTTTAATAGAGCTATTATGAAATTATAATTTTTATTTCTGGAACACTGGAAGGTTGAAAGCAAAAGAAAACGTAAGAAATCAAACCAATTTGTTTTCTCACCTTTTTGAGTATTTTAATTTTAAAATTAATTGTAGTTTATAATAAATATGTCTCTGCTGTGGCATACATAAAGTGTGATCAGTAAAGAGAAGCTTTCCATGGTTCAATTCATTTCAGTTAGTTCAGAGATCTGTGTCTTGTCAAACATATAATTAATGGTATTTATTAAATTATATGACTACAGAAGATCAACAAACTATACTATTAACATGCTGATTCAGATCAAAACCTTACATTTCTTCTGAACCCTCTTTCTATTCTACACCCTCCATTTTGCCACATAATTATCAGTCTCCCTAGCAACACTGTCAGTTCACGGTGAGATGCTGAGACTACTAATTCTTACTGAAACCAATCCATGCTTGCGTAGTCGTGGTAGAATCAGTCATCTCAGACATTAGTAGCATACATATCAAGAGTGCTCTTCCAGTTTTTGCTTCCGAGGACAGTCAGTAATAAATCTCCTTGAATTTCAATTGCTTGATCACATAAACAAAAGTGGCTTGGTCAGTAGCTAGATAGGAATGCTCTGGAAAGCCCTTTTCTAATTTGATCCTTTGCTTCTGTTGCTAGGGAACGCTGAAGTGCTAGAGATTTAGAAAGGAGAGTAAAGCTGTAAACCTAACACAGGCCATTCAGTATTTAAAGATCCCCTGGCACATTTTGGTAGCAGAATGGGTGTAGTGGTTATAGTCAGTTCCCTAGTTTCTGCCATTAGATGCAGTGCTCATCCTCACCAGCTCCTTTAGATAGTCCAGTTCTGATTTGCTTTACAAACTCTGGAGTGTTTATCAGTAAGATGAGTGGGTTAGCATGCTTTTAGGCCTTGAAGCAGCTCAGGAAGCAAAAGAATTATCAATTACAGGTCAAGGAAAAACCATGTCAGTCTGAAATAGTGAAAGAAAGGGAAAGGGATAGAGAGAGGAAGAAAGGAAAGAGAAGGAAAGGAAAGCCCATAAGCAGCTATTTCTTCACATGGACTCAAGTTCTTCCAGGACAGAGCTTCCCAATTGGCAATGGATTAATTATGAGACTCTCAATATTGAGTTACTGTAAATTTTTATAGTGATAAAAATTTCAAAACCATTTTTTAAACCATACGAAATTGACCACAGTTGAAATTCTATTTGAACACCATCTGAACAAACTGAACAAGCTCAAACATTTTTTTTTTATCATAATTGCATAAAGCAGATGTAATGAATTTTTTTCACCAAGACTCATAACAAGCCCCAGATCCCTTCTGGTTTACTCTAATGTAGTGGTTAAGTATTATTTTCCATGTGTGCCATGACATGAAAAAACGATTATTTTGCTCTACTGTCATGTTCCTTGTTTGCCATTTCTTCATTCCTGTGTAATGCTGGCATATATAAGAGTTTTCTACATTCCATCCCCGGACCCTGAAGTGACTAGAATGCCTGTGGCTGCCCACCTATTCAGGTCAGATTAGAATAAGAGCAGAGGACAGGCCTGTTAGAGAAATCTTGCCGTAGAAAAAAGGGTTGTAATCTTGATTACAGTTCCTAGAAAAGCCACTTAAACAACATGCTCTTCCCTGTATCTTCATGATGACACATTTCAGCTTCAAATATCTTAAAGGCTGTTTTGTAAAAAGGGATTACCATATTTCACAGATAACGCGCACCTTCTACATTTGTTTGCCAACTGCTCTCTCCCTCCCAAGATGTTTCTGTAAGCACTGCTATACCATTTTTTTTACATGTTACTGTAAGAAAAAAAACATAGCATAGTGCACCTACAAAAATACCTCACGGTTCACTGTTCAGCCTGGGAGTGGACAGCCCAGTAAAACCATGAGAGTAACGAGGTACAGGAGTCCAGTGACAAGGCGCAGAAGGCAGAAGGGGAGTAGGAAGCTGATGATAGGGAACACAAAGTAGAGTAAGGATATTGTTGATGTGTTGTGAGATTGTTAACCATTGTCATAGG